TTTATTAAACACGCAACACTTGGTTACCTCATTTATAAGTGAAAAAGTATACGTATTATATACCTTCGTCGTTCTTTGGTATTGTTACTTTGATGGTTGGCGGGAAGGTATAAAATGGACTATTGATTAAAGATAACTTTCATTTTACAGGACTCCACTATCGATTCACTAGGTATACGTACTGTATTGCAAGGTCAGACGCGAAATAACCATCAGACTCCCCATTTAAATATACATGTGCCTGTACGTTTACGTGGTAAAGACGTGTACGGGGAAAACGAATTGTTTTGGGGTTCCATGTCATAAGAAAGTTCGAGAATTACATCGTTGCTCCATAAAAATAATAGAAACTAGTTACACGAAGCGCATTTGTAAAATGTAATTGGGCGAAGCCGATATCAATAAAAAATAGACTTTCAAAATAAAAAACCACATGAATAATAGAAATGTTTCGTCAACTGAAAAGTGCGTGATGTTTTTTTGGTTTTAACACAAGGTGAAGCTTTTTCTTTTTCATCTGATTTAAAAAAAATGTCTGGTCGGCGCGGTCTGGAGCAGACAGACAAGCCCTAGCGATTTCTTTACCATATAGGTTCCACGCGTCGTGTATCATGACCTTTACACGGCGCGTGGATTACCCATCCACGCCCCCTGTGACGGGTTCGACGCGGCCTGGAGCGGACAGGCGCGTCCTAGCGGTTTCTTTGCCATTTTTTTAAACGGCGGCGGTCGCGTGGAATGTCAATCTGCGCTCCACGCGTTAAGTATCACAACCTTTACATGGCGCGTGGATTGCCAATCCACGCTACATGTAACTGGTTCAGCGCGGCCCTCCATGTGTCGTATACCATGACCTTTACACGGCGCGTGGATTACCCATTCTCGCCCCGTGTGGCGGGTTCGAGGCGGCCTGCAGCGGTCAGGCGCCTCCTAGCGGTTTCATTGCCATTTTTCGAGACGGCGGCGATCGCATGGAGTGCCAATCAGCGCTCCACGCGTCGTGTATCAAAATCTTTACATTGAGCGTGGATTACCAATCCACGTTCCGTGTAACGAATTCGACTCGGCTTGGAGCAGACAGGCGCGTCCCAGCGGTTTCTTAGTCATTTTTCTAGGCGGCGGCGGCGGCCGCGTGGAATGCTAGACTGCGCTCCACGCGTCGTATATCATAACCTTTACATGGAGCGCGTATTACCAATCCACCTTCCATGTAACGAATTCTATGCGGCTTGGAGCAGACAGGCGCGTCCCAGCGGTTTCTTAGTCATTTTTCTAGGCGGCGGCGGCGGCCGCGTGGAATGCTAGACTGCGCTCCACGCGTCGTATATCATAACCTTTACATGGAGCGCGTATTACCAATCCACCTTCCATGTAACGAATTCTATGCGGCTTGGAGCAGACAGGCGCGTCCTAGCGGTTTCTTAGTCATTTTTCTAGGCGGCGGCGGCGGCCGCGTGGAATGCTAGACTGCGCTCCACGCGTCGTATATCATAACCTTTACATGGAGCGCGTATTACCAATCCACCTTCCATGTAACGAATTCTATGCGGCTTGGAGCAGACAGGCGCGTCCTAGCGGTTTCTTAGTCATTTTTCTAGGCGGCGGCGGCGGCCGCGTGGAATGCTAGACTGCGCTCCACGCGTCGTGTATCATGACCTTCACACGGCGCGTGGATACCCATTCACGCCCCGTGTAACGGATTTTTACGCGGTCTGGAGCGAACAGGCGACTCCTAGCAGTTTCTTTGCCATTTTTCGTAGCGGCGATCGCGGATTGGATCCACGCTCCGTGTAACGGGTTCGGCACGATCTGGAGAAGGCCCTTAACTAGGTACGTCAACAATGAGACTATATGACTTATTTCAACAAAAACCAATAGTAATAGAGTAATAGTAATAGAATACCCAAATATTCTACGTTTTGAATTGAATTGACAATTCCCACAATGAGGATGAGAGAACGTTTCCATTTTCAAAAATTATTCGTGGTAATTGGGTAAGTCCCTTCTGGGCGTAACTTAGATAGTATTTTCGACAAATTTATTCAAGTCAAATGTGTTGTTGGTATAGGTATATTTTCTGGATTGGTCCGTGCTAAAGATCCGCTCCGGTCTCTATTTATGTAATAAGTGTAGCAGTGTAGAAAAGGGAGAGCAGAAGCCGTATAACAATACATATAAATTTTGTCACCGTCCGCACTCCCCCATCTCCATTAACTGGGCTTGATAATACAAATTTTACGATTTCATCTCTGGTTCCTCACCTACACGACCTTTCCCGGTTATCTCGCTTTCTACGTGCTCATTGGACAACGCCGTGGCAGCCACCTACCGCTCTAGAACTCAGAACTCGCAGGATTAGCACGTAAACTATGTATGTATTTGTCTCGGCAATTTTTGTTCCCCAAAACGGTAATTCGGGATCCGGTACACACTTCGACATGCGAACGTATCACTTGTAGCAAAATTTCAGCTCCACGAACGGTTTCAGGCGATCCCAAGAGACATATAGGAATTTAGAGAACTTATTAAATTCGCAGAATCAGCCAAAGGAACGCAATACAATTGTCTAATCTTTTTCAACATCTATAAACGTTTCACATTACAAAAGAACATATAACAAATCGTTATAAGACTGGTTGGACATGCACCTCCTCTGTTTCCTATCCTGAACTAATCTTCGCAGAAATCACAGATAAACTTGGACTAATGCAGACGCATCCGAATTCGAACAAGTATCTTTCCGAATGCTATAAGCAATAGACCTCTTGGTCATGCCTTTTAGTAAGATTACTGGTCACAAATAATTCCAGTTTTAGGCAAACGCGAAAAATTGGAGGTGCGCATCTAATCAATCATAGGACTGATGATCCCATGATGATGAATTGCTTCTACTTGGATCACATCAGGCGTCGATGTACAAAATTGCCTTGTACTGAGTTATGAACCCAATGAATTCTCTGATTGTGCTAGCTGCAGCATAATTCTACACGAGGTATTTCTACGCATTGTTTCGAAAACCCGCAGCGTTTCCCCTTTTCACCCATTTTGATGGGTCAGCGGGTTGTATTCAATGCAACTAATGCATACATGTTTAGTAGTCGTAGATTTCGGTTTATTTGAAAACAATATTGTTTAATATCTCCCTCAGCTGTATCGATTTTTTCGTTTGCCAAAAGTTGATAAGTTATAGAGGAGTTTCTTTTGTGATGTACACCCATTTCATTTCATCACCAGTCGTCATTCCTACAACTATTTTAATCATCGGATGTTTTCTTCAATTAATTTTAGCCCATCAAATTTAAGTAGTAGATGCAAATACATTTTTTAATCGATAAATAGTACGTCTACTTTCCTTCCTATAAACTCACGATGTTCTTTAAAATATTCTATGATGTTAGAGAACTCATTTTAATTATTTCCGTCGTTTCCTCATTCCTAATTCCACTTATTTAGCATCAGGAATGAATAGTCGGATGGGTTCGTGAGGCACTCGCAATCATTTCTATTGAATTTGTTTTCAATTTTCGCATTGAAGCTTCTCGAATTCGATGTTTCAACTTTCCCGTTGCACATCGGAGAATTTTAACATCTTCGAAAAATTGGCTGCAGTAAAGAAAGGCTTGCGCCTGGAATCCAATAAGTTGTCAACTGAATTTGTTAGAAACCGAACTAAATTCTCGTTTCCATTCTGATGAGACATGTCGCGGATCTCGTTACATTGACTCTAATAAAGCACTTTAAAGGTCGTCCTAAATATACGTCAAATAATTGCCAATTTGTTCCAATAAATTTACTCACTTAACAGTCGTTATTTAACGGAAAAAGCCACTTTACAATCCTATTGTAAGAGCGCCCTTTGATTAAAAGAAACCTAACTTCAATTGCAATTGTATCTTCTAGATTGTCTATTTTTATCTAATTAATTTTATATTTAACGATCCTGTTTGGAATAAAATTAAATAGTTAAACCTTTGTTATTGATACTAGATTCGTTTTAAAAATCGATACTAAAAATCGCTCGACTATTGTAGAAAGATACCCTACCCCTGAGTAAGTGAGCTTTTATTTTGATAAGAATACGTTTTCAGTTCGAAATCTCTATTTATAAATCAAATTCCTGATGTAGCGGGCACGGGTCGTTAGATCCAAATAAAGTTAATAATCTACTTCGAGGCAACGGCACTTACTACCACTGCATACTAATTGAGAATGCGGTTGCCATTTACATTACTAGCTATAACGATTACTTAACAATATTGACAACTCATTCCGAATACATAATATCGTCAGTTTGCACCAAAAAGTTCGATTGCATTTGATATACGAGTTCGATCACGGGAATGGGTTTTCTACCCTTATTATGCGACTGAATAAGGGAGCGACCGCGTAGCGTAATTGGTAAGAGAACAGTTTATGATGCAAACGGTCGCCGGTTCAAATCTAACAGAAGACAAGAGAAAAAAGTACGTAATATTAAAAAAAATCCATTAGATCTCTTCTGGTGGCTAGATAAAATAGAGAACACTTAAGGATAGAGTTACAGAGAACATACGATATTGATATGAAAATACCTTTACAGTTCTTGCAATAGATGCTATCTAGTTTATGCTATAATGAATAATGTACCGAGTTTTATCAAAAAAGTAGTAGTATGCTGCAGGTCACAACTGTTAAAATTTATATTCAGTGTACGTTTCTGATTAAAATTGTCACCTTCATATGCATTTTAGCATATAATATACCGCATGAATATATGTTTAGATATCATGCGTGTGAAACATATCGAAAACCTTGTGCCCATCAACGTACTGCCAATGCCCATGAAAAAACAGAATCCTCAAAACCAAACATTCCTTTTATATATTATAATTCGGTCGGAGGTCAAGAATTGAATCATATTATACGTGCGTGTTATTATTCTCCCCGTTGTGCGAGGGAGTTTATCGGATTCATATAAAAAGGTGACCGTATTTACGGTTAAATCAATTCTAAAGTTAACTCACAATCAGTTATTTAACGTTCAACAAGTCGAAGTTACATTAAAAACGAAATGGTGAAGTTATTGGTGGTGTTTTTTGTCCTTGTGGCAAGTGTCTATGGGAAACCCCAAGTTCCAGTCTACAGTTATTCTTATTCAACGGTGGTGCAACATGGCGTACCATACCCCTTAGCAAGTAAGTCAATTTTTCTTTTTTTTTGGTTCCATACGTCGATGTGAAGAGATAGAACCCTCAGAGTGCAAGTTGTAAGTTCTGTTTTTATTTAAAGAATTTGAGTGAAAAAAGAAGTTTGCTATTAGTATTTTATAAAACTTTAAGGCCATTGTTATACAAGTTTAAAGTCCCTACCCTCTTCCATCCCAATTTAAGTTGGAATTGTTTCTCGTTTTTAATCTGCTTCAGTGTTAAAAACTCGGTTTTTCATCCAGTGACATTTTTAATGCCTACAGTTTCCTTTCTCAATCCCAATTTAAAAATTTATACGGATCACATTTTTCTTTAATAAACAAAAACATTAAATCCCTTGTGAATTATATTATCTAATATGCATACTGCGTTTTGCGAAAAAATAAATTTAAACTTTTCAGGTTATAAGTTAACCACCCAACCGCAAGTAGTTGAAGTTCCCCAGCCATCTGAGTCCCACCCACCTGTTAGTCGAGGGGCTGAAGTTCCCGTCAAGAATGTTACCAAAGAAATCGAACAAGAAGTTGAAGAAAAAGAAGGAACGACGACCGAAAATCCGGAAATCGAAACAACAACCGAACCCGAATCGGAAGCGATCAGAGAAGAAAATTCACATAATACAAAAGATGACAAGGAAAAATTATCCGAAAATACGAAAGTGACAACCCCTGAAGGCAAAGGGGTGTATTACATTTACCATCCGACTAATGGAGTTTTGCAAAAAGTCGTGTATTCCACCAAAAACGACGAGAAGGAAATGGCACTTGTCGCACAGCTCAAGTACCAAAACGTCGAGCCCATTAAGGAGCCAATTTATACTTATAATCCCGAAACATTTGTCCTACAACCCTTAAAATTAGCTTAGCCATAAACAAGAAATACGTTCGTCGCAAGTTATGTTCCAAATTAACCGACGAAACACAACGTTATCTACCCGAAACTTCTCCTTTTTCTCTCAGATATAAATTATTATAAATCACCCTATCTACTTCCACGAGAATATCGAAAGAGGTGGAAAAACTTCCCCAGACCTGAAAAATAAATCTTACAGCTTTCACCATAATGAAAACGAAAATCTGTTGTCAGGAGCGCAAGAGAAAGCAATAATTTTAACCACGTCAACCGTCAAGAAGCCATACTGATTTTGATTCCAATCTCAAGCAAGATCCATCATCACCTCCAAACACGAAAAGCATTATTTATTTTTTATGTATCTCTGTCGTTTATTTTTAAAATAAAATATTTATATCAACATGCACTAATAGTATTTATTTAAAATCCTCCAAACAATACATAAATAATTAAACAATTTAATTTAACGTTTTAAAACAAGTTAAGACAGCGTTAAGTTTTAAGCACTACGGATCGGCAAATGTTTTATGCAAAGGACGTAGAAAATAAATTCAAGTCCAGGCCACACAGCACTTGGCAAAGGGCCCTTATAAAAAGCACCTGCGGACAAAGGGTAGTAACATAAATTAAGGGTGGAAAATGAGAAGGCTGGCTAAAATATCAGGGCAAAGAGGTAGGCAAGAAATTACGATTTGCGGTCAATCTTATTATATATATTTGTTTTTCCGAAGGTATAATACGCCAGAAACATGGGGTTACTCAAACCGGGGTTAAATCTAATCCACGTGTAGATAACTTAATCCTTTAAATTGTTTGAGTTAGATTTTTATAGTTCAATTCACTTGAAAACTTGGGTCAATTTAAAGTTACAGATGTTAAGACTGACTCGTTATATGTTTGTACGTTAGATATAAATTCTTGTCAATAACTTTTCAGTTATATTTATCTTGAAGTTTCCGAAGGCAAGACGATGTCTTGGCATTCAAACATTTCCATTTAAGTATCTGAAATGTTGTCAACTTTTCCAGTAAGATGGAATTAATGATTGTATTCTGTAATAAGAATAACAAACAGTACTGCAAAACTTTACATTGATTTAACTTTATAAGGGAATATAAATAAAAGTAAAACAAAAATGCTGGTATGCAAGGGAAGAACAAGTAGGGAAATAGCGAATGTAAAGATAGGAGACGAAAAATTAGAAGAAGTGGCTGATTTTAGGTATCTAGGAAGTCAGATAAGTCAGGACGGAAGGAGTAGTAGGGATATAAAGCAGAGGATAACGCAGGATCGAGAACGGTTAATTAAGTCCAACCAGTCTTAGGACTGACGACCTTATGATGATGATGACCTTATTAAGACTGATGTATTGAATAAACTAAGATTAAGTAGACCAACTGAAATGGGCACGGACTCATAGGGATTCATAAAAATAAAGACGCGCAATTCTAATTTTAAAACTAGAGGTGCTCCAAATAGTGATAACCGAGTACCCGGCAAAATCCCTAGGGTTAATGGTTCATATCTTTGTTCTAGCGGGTTTTCCATTAAACACCATACCACCTTCACCATCATCCCCATCCACATTAAATCCTGTTCAAAAAGTCGTTCGTTTAAACACTAAACCAATGAAATTTTAATTCTTAGTTAGTGGATTTTCAACGAGAGGGCTGAAACAAGCCAGGCCCTAAAAAAGGTACACTGGATGGGCCGGGTACCTGGCCTATCTCCAGTTAAAACAATTTGGAGATTTTTCGAGCTGTTATACTTGTTAATATTTGCTAAATACGATCCGTTTAAGTGATACATTCCTGTATCTGCTACTTATATGTACATATATAGAAACAGCAAACAGAATTGTTTACTTTCGAGGATATAAATCGTTTACTTTTACTCGTTTAATTTACCGTCTGTTTGGACATGGTAGTGGCCAGAAATTACCAGTATTTGTTATGCAATTCAAGCCGTTATAGATGTTGCCCAAACCGCAGGTACTTCTGCAAACTTTCAAAACGAACTTTGGAACTTTACTTCGCCACCCATCTCCGCACTTAAAACAAATTTCCTCTCCCTTCGTGTGAGTTGATATTCCCGGCAAGATCCGACTTGACATTAACAACCCCAATTAGTCGAATTTAAATGTCGGACGACAGCTCGCCACCTGTTTGTTTTAATGTTAATGTCGAAACGTTTTATAACACAAGACGGCACGGATGTACGCGCCATTATTATTTTAAAGGCAGAAATTCGAACAAACGATTAATTAATAATTCAACAAAACAAAAGAATTATCGTATACTCTCGTTTGTTTAGGGTTCTGAGTGACAGCTGACTGAGTGAAGAATTCTTTTTTGTTTTTTAACGCTTTTTGTCTACATCTGCTTCTATTATGTTCATTATTATTGAAGGGTAAAGCGCCGACGGTATTAATTAAAAAATCGATGGGTATTAAAGTGGGAGCGGTATTATAGGTAGATAAAGATAGGAGATTTGTCTCTAAACGGAATAAATAAAACAGAAGCCCACGCAATGCCGGTAATTTGGGGAAGTTCGATTTTTTTGACATCAAGAGTTCATTAACTGCGTTTTAAAACTCTTTCATGAGGAGACTGGATATACTCCACAAGGATTACATGAAATTGTGTATTCATCCTGGATTAAAAAAGAACATATTTAGAGCGTGAAAATATCCTTAGGGTAAATGTTACAATTTCCATTAAAATTCTTGTTTGTTTTTGATTATTAAAGAAGACAACCTACAAAACAGTTTGTGACATTAATTATTTTGGATACCAAACTTAATTACATTTAATTAATACATGTATATAGGGTGGATTAAAAATTTGCCTTATTTTAAAACGTTGGTGAATTAAATTTTTGAATTAATTTTACTCACCGCAGATAACCTCAAATCAATGAGAAAAAAGTGTTGCCACTGTTACTCCCTCGCCGGGAAACGAATCTGGACTCCTCACTCCTAACTAATTTGAGGTTATCCCTAGTGGGTAAAGTAAATTCAAAATATTAAACCACTAATGCATTGAATTTAATCGTACAAAATATTTAAAGTGTTTTACTAGTTGATGTTACTTCAAATGACTCTTAATTCTACAAAAATCGGGTTAATTGACTCAAGAATGAAAATTTAATGTGACGGAAGATTCACATATTCCATCTTTTTGCTTTTAAGTGATTGCTTTATAAATTTTCTATGATAAATTTTTTTTATTTACAGGTTGGCCAATCTGATTGAATTCCGTGCAGATATTGGTGAGTGTTATTTCTTTGATTTTGTTTTCGTATTATATGCAAAATGGTTCAGACATTTCCTGGCAATTCTTACGTTATGCCTGATCTTTTTATTGATGCCAAACATACATTTATGCCCAAATTTTATTCTCTCGTAAAATGTTATATAAATGATCACATGAACACTGTGGACAAGGAACATACATTGTGTTGCAAATCATCGATGACGTTAAAAATAAACATCTCAAAATTGAGTTTGATGGCTCATCAAACGATGGAAGAAAATTCGTTTTCCTGCTTTCTGTTTTCCTTTGCAGGGCAGTATATTTTTATGCTGATCGGAAATTGATCGATTTCAGGGGACCCATAAATAATTTACCATAACGATTTTGTCCCACGTAAAAATTTTGTGCGAAAATAAAAAGGTATCTGTAATAACTAATTTTTGATGCCCCATAAGTTTTTTGCTAACGTGTTTCTAAAAAGGTATAAATGTTGGAACATACGTAATCCTAAAATGCAGCATCGTGCTACAGATGGCGTTTACCGCGCCATTTGTGGTATTTTCTAAAACGCACTGTTAAGACAGCAGATAAAAGTTGGTCTGTGTTCTGTCGGAGCTGCGTGCGCGCGCTGATGAGATCCAAAAAGATCGAAATCGCGATCCGCGTCTGGCAGTTTCGACAGAATACAGACCACTTTGAATTATTTTATTCGATTATGGTAACGTGCCTATCACGTTGAGGTTAGGTACGCCGGGATTCGTTTCAGCAAGTAGATATCCACACAAGTGCAACTTGTTGGAGCATACGTAATCCTAAAATATAGCATCGTGCTACAGATGGCGTTTACTGCGCCATTTGTGGTATTTTCTAAAATGTATTACACTTACTTACCCAATTATTATTATCGCGAAATAAATGTGCAGTGGACGTTGGTGTATCTGTTTTATGTCCCCAAAGAAGTTATGTTTTTTTGGAAATAGAAGGTACACAGGTAAATAATAAGGTAGACAAGTACAAATAGCGTAAGTGCCAATTTTATCGTTTTTGTCTTATTAAAACATATCATAATTGCAAAAAGAAACAAACTGGTAGATAATAATTTGAAGTTTAAAATTCTCTTGTCAAAAGATCATTTCAGCGAAGCGAAACATAAGCTTTCGTTTTCAAAAATGGAAAATCCACTTTGATTTTTTGTTGATGTTATCTGCTAATGTATTAATCGTGAAACTCACTTAGTATTTCTCTGATTTTAAAGCTTTTATCAAAGCAAATTGCTCCATTAAAAAAAAAGTATTAAACAGTACAAAAACATTTGGCAGCAAACGAAACATTCACGCACATTAGTGTGGTCGAATTGCTTATTGATTTTAGTCAGTTTTTGCGCAAAAATTAAACATGATAAAAGAATAACAAAAATCATACTTTTAATCCCATTTTGTTGTTAGTTCACAATGAAGTGCTATACGATGGGCTTTTGTATATTTATACTTTGAACCGTTTTTTTGTTGAAAATTGTGTCCAGGAATATAAATTAATGCCAATTTAACATTTGAGGTTTATGGGTTAAATATCGACAAATGGCAAAGAAAGCAATCTAGGTGAATATAAAGTATCCATAGATATCTAGGTATCAAACAGAGTTTGTTGGGGGCAATTCTGGGTCACGGTTTGCTATACCATTGTCTGATTTGAGGCGGGTCGCTATTTTTAGATAAAAAGTGATTAATGATTCAAAGCCACGTTACGTTTTCATACGATATATAACTACATAATTTCGAATAAAAATTGCAAGAAAGGGAAAAAAAACCGAAAACGAAACGCCATAATTAGAAGAATTGTAACTACAATATAGGTATAGATAAAAGAAATGGGCAAGATTATAATGCAGTAACAGAAATCTTTGAAAAACAAAGAAACAACTGCTTCCACCATAAAAACAAAAGATATTTTGTCGCTAATTGATTGTTAGTTTGTGTTTTTATACCAAACCTTGCGCTATTGTTGTTTTATATCTCTACTAAGGCTTTTACCACCCTGAGTTATCTGACTCCCTAAATATCGAAAGTATGCAACTTTTTCTGGTTAATCGTCTTCCCTCTTTATATTAGTTATAATCGTACTTTTACTTCCCTTGATCCAT